TGAAGTCCTTAACAGTGTTTAATACCAGCTACACAGGAGCTTTTTATAGAACAAGGCCAACTTCTCCATTTTAAAAGATGGGGAACAAAATATGGATGAAAATACCAGTGGGGTGATCGATTTGATGGTGTTAAGAAGAGAGTGCTTTTATCTATTGCTTTGACCTCTCAAAAAACTATAAAGAAGAAATAAAACAAAATAAGGGATGAGAAGGAGAAAGAGTGAAAAAGCAGTTGGAGTGGAAATGTTCTTCATATTGTAGTTACTTTAAAATGTTATTTGGCATATATTTGGCATATACATGGCTAAACTTGGAGATGTATATGAATAAATTTTATTTCTATTATTTTTAATAACCACAAGTATAACCTTGCATCTTTCTTTTCTGCTTTCCATTATAATAAAAATGTAGGCAGCAACATATTTTTATGTGTAATAAAGGGATGCAAATAGTTCAACATTTCTTGCCTTTCCATTTCAAATTGGTCTAATTGTTTTCAGTCAGTTCTTTCCTCAATAAACAGCTGTCAGAGTTCCACTAGTAGGATATGGCTTTATGTTATTTCTGGTAATGGGATAGGTTTGTGCTGAGACAACACATTGTAGTAATGAAGAGCCCTGCTAGTTGAGTTCAAATTCCAGGTCTGCTAAGAACATGCACTTAAGATCTCTGAGACCTTAAGATCTCATTTTGTCCATTTAAAAATGGGGTGACAATACCACTTTGTAAGGATTCTGTGTTTTAGCTTAAGAGTGTAAATTGAGCTGCTAGTCAAGTGCTTTGCACACTATATGCTCTAAATAGAGACAGTGATCATTGCTATTATCATTATTTTATTAGTCTCTATTCTAAATTAATTGTCTTTTTAAAGGTTCTCTTTCTTAGATAGTCTTTATTCAATTTGATTTGTAACAATAGAACCCTATTTAGTAAAGCTGTAATGTTGATATCTGTGCAAATATTTTTAAAGAAATTAATACATTTAAGATGTTATAAATGTGTAGATTTTTGGACTACTTTTGTCAAAATAATAGGTGGATAATTGCTCATCTGATTTTAAAATGATACTTAAAGATTAATAGCATGTTTTAGAGACTTCCACTTAAATAATCATATCTTGAATTTTATGCTCTATTCAACACTTAAGCACATTTTATTACAAAGGCTTTATGACTTTTATTTTAAAAATGTCCCTTGGATATGGTTTTATATCTGCATTTGTACTTTAACTGTCCTTAAGTAATTGTACGATGTTGGGGAAGCACCTTAGCCTTTTTAAGCCTCAATTTTATCAATGGAAACATATGGATAATAATAGTTCTCAGACTTCCTGTGAATCGAGATGTAGTTCATAGCATGGTATTTTAAATGTAGAAAGTGCTCAATAAGTATTATATATTAGCATTCTTAGCTATTCAGGTATGCTTCTATTTATATACTTTTTCTGTGTGACTACTATTCTTTCTAATGAATGTTAAGCTAATTTAAGGAGTACAATCTACATCTCTGTAACAGACTAGCCACTGGATAATTCCTAGACTAACCAAAATGAAATTGGCCAGCCCTTTTGAGACGAAGAAAACAAGACAGGGAAGTAATCTTTTATTGACAGTTTCATGGGATTTTACAGGTCAAACACGAATTATATTTGGATGTTATAACATATAAGCCTATTATTCACTTTCAAGAATGTTCCTTTTATGATATTATTACAGATGAGACAACAAGGTTGTTAAGACCCTTTATCTTTGTTGGAATTTCTGCTTACTTTGAATATTTATGTTAGGGAAAAGGAGACACGAATGGCAGACTTAAAATCTAATAAAACAAAGATACAGATATTCATTTCACCAAATAAATCTGAACCAATTTGAAATAAAGACGTTTAGAAAATGAGTGAATTACCCACGGTTAATACATTGGCAGTCAGTATAGTATTTTCTGACATATACTTTTAAATTTTTACATATTTAAAATAGTTGATAAATTAAAATGCTTAATTGCCAAACAAGTCCTCATTCTATAGAAATATTCTATATGTTGTTCCAGAACAGGAGGGGATAAAGATGATCAAACCTCTACTTAAAAATTTGTATAAAAACAATAACAAAAATAAGATACAAATAAGGATTATGTATTTTGAGAATTATATGAATCAAAAAATGAGAAATACATATAAAATACAAATAATTAATGTATTTTAAAATGTATGATCAATGAAGTTGTTTTAATATTATATAATTGCTTTTTTAATCATTCTAATTATGTGAGATTATCTAACTTCTAATTTGAAAGGAAATATAACATAGCTTCTTAAATTGTTATTTCCTTCACTGGCTACAGTTTCTATTTAATACAGATGAAGAATGATTGATGTTAAAATTATTATAATTTTGCCTACCTACAACACAGAGTATAAAGAGCATGAAAATCAAACTTTGAATAAGTTAAAAAAAAAAAAGAAGACAATAGCATTTACATGAAGTAATTGTTCCTGTGTGTATTTAACTAACTGCTTTAAGAACTCAAGTAATTCCAAGAGGGAAAAATTTTATTTGGTCTTTCATTAAACCACACCATTCTTTCTTGTTCTTTAAAATCTTACTCGTAACTTGTTTGTTAATTGAAAGAAAAAGGAACTTGTGGGATTTACTCCCTCTTCTCCTTCAAGTCAACTAAGCCCAAAGGCAAATGTGTATTCTCACATATTGTATATTAGCTGTCAAATCAAAACCTTATTTTAGCTATTACATCCCACTTTAAATCTTTCAGCCCAGTAATTCTGACAGTAGCGTAAAAACACTGTTTTCCCATCATACTCAGCCTTTTTTCCTGTCATACTCAGCTAAAATATGATGATATTGACTTCTTTCATTTCAATATGTTTTTCTTACATTGTTGCACAAACATTTTTATTTTTGAGAATGTACATCTTAAGCTGAAAGCTTCCTGTGTCCAGTACACTGGAAAACTCAAATAAAACAAGTGTTTTTCATAATCTTTTATATTATTCCTGTTATTCCATTTGAAAGCTATAACACTTTTCACATTTATGTCACTTCTTTCTAATAAAAACATCCTAAATGTAAACCTTGTGTGTCGAACATCACTCTCCACTTATAAAACCAATCCACAGGTGATATGATTTGGCTGTGTGCCACCACCCAAATCTCATCTCTAATTGTAATCCCCACATGTCAATGGAGGGGCTTGTTAGGAGGTGATTGAATCATGGGAGCGGACTTTCCCCTTACTCTTCTCTTGATAGTGAGTGTGTTCTCATGAGATCTGGTTATTTGGGAGTGTGTGGCACTTTCCCCTTCACTCTCTCCTTCTCTGCCATGGTAAGATGTGCTTGCTTCCCCTTTGCCTTCTGCCATGATTGTAAGTTTCCTGAGTTTCCTAGCCATGCTTCCTACTAAACCTACAGAACTGTGAGTCAATTAAACTTCTCTTCTTCATAAATTACTCAGTCCCAGGTAGTTATTTATAGCAGTGTGAAAACAGATTAATACAATAGGTCAATTTTAATTTGGGTGGAAACCATTCCAGAGCAAATCAAGAAAAATTTAATAGGTAAGTTTCTCACACACATAAACATAAAACATTTTTTATAAAAGATCTCTATCCATACTGGAAGACTATAATTGCTCAGATTCTTTGATGCATGATGCTCTGTTTAGTGCTCTGTTGAGAAACACTGATGGATATTACAAAATAAATTCACTTATAAATTTAGTGCAGTCGGACAATCATGGCTCACTGTAGCCTTGACCTCCTAGGCTCAAGCTATCCTCTCACCTCAGCCTCTCAAGTAGTTGGGACTGCAGGCATGCGCCACCATGCTGGGCTAATTTTTTTTTTTTTTTTTTTCCGGAGAGACAGAGTCTCACTTAGTTACCCAGGCTGGTCTCAAACTGCTTGCATTTTGAAATCCTCTTGCCCTGATGTCCCAAAGTGCTGGGATTACAGGTGTGAGTCACTATACCTGGCCTCTAATTTTAAAATGTTGTCACTTCAAGAATGTTACATAAAATAATTAAACAGTAGATCATATTTGTATATTGTATTGTTTTTGCTCAGCCCAATTCCCTTGAAATCCATCCAAGTCATATATATGAATCATTCTTTTTTATTACTGAGTAATATTCCATGGTGTGGATTTACCATCGTTTAATCATTTACCTGTTGAATGACATTTGGGTTGTTCCTAGTTATTAGCAACTATGAATAAAGTTGTTATGAATATTTGTGTACAGGCTTTCATGTAAATATAAGTTTTATTTTCTTTTGGATAAATATTCAAGAGTGCAATTGTTGTGGTATATAGTAAGTGAATGATTAGTTTTGTAAGAAAGTGCCATAATCCTTTCCAGAGTGGTTGTACCACTTTACATTCCTACCAGCAATGCATGAATTATCCAGTTTTCTCTATAATCTCATGAGCATTTGTTGTTATCATACTTTTTTTGTAAAAAATTGAGCCAATTTGAAATGTATGTAGTAATATCTCATTGTGGTTTTAATTTGCATTTCCCTATTAGTGATGTTGAACATATTTTCATGTGTTTTCTGATATTGTTTTCAATGAAATGTCTTTTGCTCATTTTGTAACTGGATAGATTGTTAATTTTCTTCTTCTCCTTTTTTTTTCTTTGAGTTTTGAGAGTTCTTTATATATCCTAGCTACAAGTCCTCTGCGAATATGTTCCAAACAAGTGTATTTTCCCAGTATGAAGCTTGCTTTTTATACTCTTCAGTGTCTTTTAAAATACATTTAATAATGTTGAGTAAATCTAGTATTTGGCAACTAAAATACTACACCACTTCTTCAAATAAGTTAACACATAAATTCTATAAAATATAGCAAAATCATTTATTGTATAGCATTTAAAAATTGACCCAACAATTTTAAAAATTAATTTTCTAAAACACATGGATATATGAAATTGATTTTGGTAGTTATCAAAACTAAAATTTTGTCTCTCTCTTTTGATAGGTTCTGTTGCCACTGCGTGTCGTGACCCAGGGGTCCCCATGAATGGGACTCGAAATGGGGATGGAAGAGAACCTGGGGACACTGTCGTTTTTCAGTGTGACCCAGGATATGAACTTCAAGGAGAGGAAAGAATAACCTGCATTCAGGTAGAAAATCGGTACTTCTGGCAGCCCAGCCCACCAGTCTGTATAGGTATGAATTAAAGAACAATTAAAATTTTATATAAACATAAAACAATGGTTAAAAACTGGTATTGATGTCTTAAGAACCATATTCGACAACAGATTCTCTATGAGAGTCCAAGATTTCAGAGAATTATTAACCTCCCCAGAATGTACAAGATTGTAAAATGATTATTATTTTTCCATGGGGTAAAGACTGATGATTTCATTAATTTTTTAATGATTCTAAGGTCCTAAAACAGTTATGAATCAAAGCTCTTGAAAAATTCTATCATCCTTCATTTACTATTTAACCATAGTTTTCCATTGCTTTTAAATTTTAAAGAGTGGATTCAGACTCCATATTAAAATGAGTCATATTGATCTTGTCTCTAAAATGGTTATTTCATTTAAGAAATAAAATATTGTCAGAATCTATGTCAGAATTTCCAAGCTTTGTCTTTCCATTTAATTAATGTAATCCAAAAGAATATTAGTTTTTATTTGGAAGATCTAAGAAATTGTAGCAGCCTGGATCATACTTCCAGCTGTCTTTTGTCTCCGTACTCTGTTATTGAATCTCCAAGTCAGACTCTAGAAAATTAAAACACAAATTATTATTGGGTCTGAGAAAGACTTAGAGGAATGTCCCACTTTTGGTTAAAAATAGTTAGAAAATCTGCTACATAGTTTAACTAGTTTAATCTTAAACTTTTTTGTTCTGTTCAGGTGCTTTAGTATTTGTGTCATCTTGAATTTACAACACATTTTGAACAAACTATGTTTTCTCTACTGAAAATTTTGTTTATTTACGTACTCTGTCTTACTGCATTGTAAGCAACTTAGGAGAAGATTCTATACCTTGTTCATCATTGTATTTCTTATAGCATTTGATATATTCAAATGTATCATGTTTTAGAGAGAGAATCTTATTTTTGTTCACTTATACCTAACTCATAAACTTCACAGTGATTTATTTTGAAAGTCCCATGGAAATAGGGAAAGAGTATTAGTTCTTCATTTAGAAGTGAACAAGCTCAATCAATTATTCAGATTTATTTTACCTCATCTTGTAACTCCCCACACAAAATTACAAAATCAAATTCATTGGTCATTAACTGTGTCTCAGGCACTGTTCTAAACAGTGGGAAATTAGCAATAAAACAAGACAGAAAAGTTCTCTGTTCCTATGAACTTACTTTCCAGTGAAATAAATAAAAAAAAAAGTTTTACAACACATTTTCTCTAAAAAAGTTGGATTTGAAAAAAACACTAAAATCAACAAACAACATACAAAGGCCCAAACCAGACAGACAGTTCTAGATTTCTGCTGTAAAAAAATAAGACAAATGCCAAATAAGTAAATTTATTAGAGACTCTTTTATAAAACATGAAATAATGGCATCGTTTGAACAGTTCAGATTTAGCTATATCTCCCATTACACTATTTCTATTCACACTCATATTGTTTTTCATGAAACACTGTAAGATTCTGAATCAACAAATATCAATTAATTTACCTTTACTGTAAGTGCACTCATAGAATCTGATAAAAAACTGTTAAGAAATGTCTGCAAAGAAAGAGATTAAAATAATGTATCATATTTGTTTCAAAATTTTCAAGTTTGTTTACTACTCAATTAACCAAAACATTTTCAACTAAATTAAAACTTCTTATTCTAATTAATTGGAATTTGACCACATAGCTCATAAAGAGAATATTTATGTAAAGAATAAATTATAAAACACCAAAATCTTACTGTAGAACTTCTTGCTTTATTGTGATTCTTAGATTTGACTAAAGGTTGTTGCTTATTAGAATTACCAGAAGGGCCAACTTATGCCAATTGTTTTTACATAGAATCCTAAAATATTAAATGGCTTATACAAAAATTCTAGATAACACTAAAATCCAAGATGCAAAAGATGAAAAAGTTCTGAGATCTGCTATTATAAATTTCCATTTTTAGACAAGAATATGCTTTAGCTAGCAAGTCCTATTCTTAAAAAAAAAAGCTGAGTACTAAATCTTACTTAAGTTAAGCAGGTTGTATGAGGTTTTTGTGTAGATAATGATACTGTGTATTATTTTTGGTAGGAAAAGCTAGCTTCAGGAGAAGATATAAATTAGAGCTTCTCCGAGGAAGAAAATAACCTTAAAAAAAAAAAAGTCTAAAAAATTGCTAAGGCTGCAGAAAGCTTGACCTCTAAAACTGATAAGAAAGAACTTCATGATTGGAAATACCATGCCAAAGATTAAACCCTGAACTTCTTAGAAACTCCATAATTCTATGTCTCAGACCCCGGAGCGTAAAACATTTTGCTTGCTTGCATATAGAAACAGTCTTGTAGCAAATGCCAAACAGAAGGGCGTTGTCTTTAAGAGAGTTAATAGAATTCATTCCAACAAAATTGACAGTGTGCAAATTACTTTGATATTGCCAGCGGGAAAGTAGCAGCATTCAATATGAAGGTAAATAAGGAAGACATTAATGTGAGTGGGCTTTTGAGAAAGAAAGAAGACACAAACAAAATTGAATTTGGGAAAAAAATTAAGAAGATCGTAAAATAGTTATCCATAGTTGATGCCCACATAACTGCCTCAGAAAACATTGCATTCAGAACAAATTACTGAAAACTTAATTCATGAATCTCTGACTTGTATTTTGAATGCTTTATAGTTAGATGGGTAAAAATAGAGATGCATTTCTAAATGCTATTTAGAGTTGAGTATATTTAAGATAATTTTCTTTACTCACTAAGAATTTGGGATTTACAAACGTCAGATAATGTCTTTGCTTTTCTCATTGGCTTTCATAGATTTTCAAAATCAACCACAGCATTGAAATATATCAAGAAATCTTTGATAAATAATTTAAATAGAAGCACACCTGTGTTCCCAACTGCTCAGGAGGCTGAGATGGGAGGATTGCTTGAGTCCAGGAGTTTGAGATAAGACTGAGCAACATAGTAAGACCTTGTCATTAGAGGAAAAATAATAATTTAAGTAATAGAATAAAAATAATTTTAGAGGATCTTATATCTAAATAATAGATAATTTATATGTAATAATTTTTCTTACATCTTTTGTGATAAAGGATATTCATGTATAACATGTACATGTACATATATGTGTGTATCTCTATACAATTTCTAACAATAAAAAAGACCAATGTTCCTTGTCAAATAAGGACAATTGAAACAAAATTACTCCCCTACTCTCTCCAAAATTATGCATAATCCAAGTGGAAAAAAATCACAAAGAATATTTTGCTATCATTCTGGTCTTTTGTGCATATATACATACATGTAAGCATATCTCATTTTATTACACTTCACTTTATTTCACTCCACAGATATTACATTTTTTTACAAATTGAAGATTTTTGGCAACCCTGTGCCAAGCAAGTCCTAATAGACTTTTTTTTCTAATGGCATGTGCTCACTTCATGTCCCTGTATTATATTTTGGTAATTCTCACAATATTTCAAACTTTTTCATTACTATTTTATTGTTATTGTGATCTGTGATCAGTGATCTTTGATGTTACTATTGTAATTGTTTCGGGGTGCCACAAACAAATGCCCATGTAGGACAGTGAACTTAACCAATAAATGTGTGTGTTTTGAGTGCTCCCCTAACTGACTGTTCCTCCACGTCTCTCTCTTTCCTTGGGCCTACCTATTCTCTGATACACAATATTAAAAGTAGACCAATGGCCTCTGAGCATTCAAGTGAAAGGAAGAGTTGCACATCTGTCACTCTAAATTAAAAGCTAGAAATGATTAAGCTTAGTGAGGAAGGCCAGTTGAAAGCCAAGATAGGCTGATAGGCATCTTGAATCAAATAGTTACCCAAGTTCTGAATGCAAAGGTAAAATTCTTGACAGAAATGGAAAATTCTACTCTAGTGAACACAGGAATGATAAGAAAGCAAAACAGCTTTGTTGCAGATATGAAGCAAGCCAGTGGTCTGGATAGAAGATCAAACCAGCCACAACATTCCCATAAGCCAAAACCTAATCCAAAGGAAGGCCCTAACTCTTTAAGTCCATAAAGACATACACAGGTGGAAAAGCTGCAAGAAAACTTTGAAGCTAGCATAAGTTGATTTATAAGGTGTTTTTGTTGTTGTTGTCATTGTTTTGAGACGGAGTCTCACTCTGTCGCCCAGTCTGGAGTGCAGTGGCGTAACCTTGGCTCACTGCAAGCTCCACCTCCCGGGTTCATGCCATTCTTCTGCCTCAGCCTCCTGAGTAGCTGGGACTACAGGCACCAGCTACCACGCCTGACTTTTTTTTTTTTTAGTAGAGATGATTTTTAGTAGAGACGGGGTTTCACCATGTTAGCCAGGATGGTCTCGATCTCCTGACCTCGTGATCCGCCCGTCTCAGCCTCCCAAAGTGCTGTGATTACAGGCGTGAGCCACCGTGCCTGGCCAATTTATAAGGTTTAAGGAAAGCAGCTATCTCTATAACATTAAAATGCAACGTGAATCTGTAGGTACTGAAGAAGAAGCTGCAGCCATTTATCCAGAAGATCTAGCTAAGATCACTGATGAAAGTGGCTTCATTAAAAACAGTTTTCAACGTAGATTAAACAGCATTCTATTGGAATAGTGTCATCTAGAACTTTCATTGCTGGAGAGGTGAAATCAATGTCTGGCTTCAAAGCTTCAAAGGACAGGCTGACTCTCTTATAGGGGCTAATGCAGCTGGTGACTTTAAAATAAAACCAGTGTTCATTTACCATTCTGAAAAAGTTAAGCCTGTTAAAAATTATGCTATATCTACTCTGCCTGTGATCTATAAATGGAACAATTAAGCCTGGATAACAGCACATCTGTTTACACCATGGCTTACTGAATATTTTAAGCCCATTGTTGAGATCTACTGCTCAGAAAAAGAGATTATTTTCAAAATACCACTGCTCATTGAAAATGTACCTGGTCACCCAAAAGACCTAATGGAATATGCAAAGAGATTAATGTTTTTATCCCAATAACACAACATCCATTCTGCAGCCCATGGAT